CCTTGTCTGTTCTGACCCCTTTTTGTGCTACAAGCACGACGGCCACAGCGCCATCGACCGCTCCACAGCACCAAAGCACGTCCGCGCCGCAGCGTGAAAACGCCGGAGCGCCAGGTCAAAGAGGGACGATGCCCGTGCCAGGCGAGGAGGCGAACAGTGAGGGCCGCAAGCGGGGACATTCTGGTAGGCCAGGACTTTGACGCGGCCACGAGAACTGCAGCCGCAGGTGGAGACGCCACCCGTTCCTCGTCTTCCCCGGATGGAGTTGGCAGCAAAGCCCTGCAGGAGAGGAGGAGAAAGGGGGGAATATCGGCCAGGCATAAAATGGGCGCTGGTCGGCGCCAGCGTTTCGTGAACGAAATCCTCGCTCATCCCCCCTGCCCCTCCTTCTCCTCCTCCGCCTCCTCGCGTTCCACGTCTTCCTCCCTCCTCCTCCTCCTCCTCCTCCTCCTCCTCCTCCTCCTCATCCTCCTCCTCCTCCTCCTCCTCCTCCGCCTCCTTCCCCTACCTCCTCAGACATCCAGTGCCATTGTTCGTTTGAACTCCCGAGCCCTTTCAAAGAGCAACAGCTTTGCCTCAGCTTGCCGTGTGCGGGCCATCGGGCCAAAGGCCCCCAGGGACAGAGTATTGCGAAAGAGCGCAACAACAACAAAACTACTTCGGAGGCACGGGGCTCCCCTCCTGTAAGAAAAACAAGAGGTACCGACACCGCCCCCCCCCCGCCCTCTCCCAGGGTGCGTTCTGATCAGACTTTCGGGGCGACTCCAGCCGTGGCGTCGAGGGCCTCCCGGAGGCGGCCCGGCCACAAAAGAGGAGAAAGAGGCCAAGATAGGATATTGTTTTTTTGACCCCCCCACCCATGACTAGGGAAGCGGAAAATGGCATGGACATAAAAACTCAGAGATCCGCGCGGATTTCTCGGATCCGCACTGGACACCCTAATTACGCCACCGAAGAACCCCACATACTTAATTTAAATATGATGTGCTTGCTTATGTCTTTAATATATGTGCAATCCTGCGTTATGAACCCTCGTCGCGAATGTTTCCCTATGTGTCATCCAACGCCATATTGCTTGCCACGCTTTGCGAGCCCGCAAAGGATAGGGAGACCACCCCCAGCGCACCCCCTGTCGTGTCGAGGAAGTGACACGCCTGCCACGCTTTGCGAGCCCGAAACGGATAAGGACACCACCCCCAGCGCACTCCCTGTGGTGTCGAGGAAGTGCCACGCCTGCCACGCTTTGCGAGCCCGCAACGGATAGGGAGACCAACCCCAGCGCCCCCCCCCTGTGGTGTCGAGGAAGTGCCACGCCTGCCACGCTTTGCGAGCCCGCAACGGATAAAGATACCACCCCCAGCGCACCCCCTGTGGTGTCGATGAAGTTCAACGCCTGCCACGTTTTGCGAGCCCGTCAAGGATAGGGAGACCAACCCCAGCGCATCCCCTGTGGTGTCGGGGAAGTGCCACGCCTGCCACGCTTTGCGAGCTCGCAGATAAGGAGACCATCCCCAGCGCACCCCTTTGGTGTCGAGGAGATACCACGCCTGCCACGCTTTGCGAGCCCGTCACGGATAAAGATACCACCCACAGCTCCCCCTGTGGTGCCGAAAAAGTGCAACGCCTGCCACGCTTTGCGAGCCCGAAACGGATAGCGTCCCCACCCACAGCTTCCCCCCCTGTGGTGTCGAGGAAGTGCCACGCCTGCCACGCTTTGCGAGCCCGAAACGGATAGCGTCCCCACCCACAGCTCCCCTCCGGTGGTGTCGAGGAAGTGCCACGCCTGCCACGCTTTGCGAGCCCGAAACGGATATCGTCCCCACCCACAGTTCCCCTTCTGTGGTGTCGAGGAAGTGCCACGCCTGCCACGCTTTGCGAGCCCGAAACGGATAGCGTCCCCACCCACAGCTCCCCCCCTGTGGTGTCGAGGAAGTGCCACGCCTGCCACGCTTTGCGAGCCCGAAACGGATAGCGTCCCCACCCACAGCTCCCCCCTGTGGTGTCGAGGAAGTGCCACGCCTGCCACGCTTTGCGAGCCCGAAACGGATAGCGTCCCCACCCACAGCTCCCCCCTGTGGTGTCGAGGAAGTGCCACGCCTGCCACGAGCCTAGCGCCACAGCTGTGGTGTCGCCACGCCCCGAAACGGATAGCGTCCCCACCCACAGCTCCCCCCCTGTGGTGTCGAGGAAGTGCCAGCGAGCCCGTGGATGGAGTGCCTGCCACGCTTTCGCCACAAGTGCCACGCCTGCCACGCGAGCCCGAAACGGATAGCGTCCCCACCCACAGCTCCCCCCTGTGGTGTCGAGGAAGTGCCACGCCTGCCACGCTTTGCGAGCCCGAAACGGATAGCGTCCCCACCCACAGCTCCCCCCCTGTGGTGTCGAGGAAGTGCCACGCCTGCCACGCTTTGCGAGCCCGAAACGGATAGCGTCCCCACCCACAGTTCCCCCCCTGTGGTGTCGAGGAAGTGCCACGCCTGCCACGCTTTGCGAGCCCGAA